TAGTGTTAAAGAGACATTTAGATACAGTCTGTTTGCATAGTTACCTTGAAAAATATCCCAACCTATACAGAGCAATGAAGGTATATCAGGCTGTTGATTCACCTAGTGCAGGGGTGTCACGTGATGTGTCACAAGGTATGGTGACATTTTTCCCCTTGAGCTGGGGTGGGCGGGGCTTCCGCGTGACACATGCAGCCCATGGGGCGGCATTTTGACACCTCTGACCTAGTGCAAAATAGCTTGTACTAATTGGAAGATGTTCTGCTTGTTTTTAGATAGGGCTGGAAAATAGGAATTTCTACCTGTCAATGTTGTGCCACCCCACGCTACTAAACTACCATCCTGGCAATTGTCTCATTGGAATCTAGATAAGATAGATAACTTTTATTGTCATTTGTATACTGTGGGCACAATGGCACACATCAAAAATGAAATTTAGTTGCCCGTTCTCAAAGTGAAACACATACATGACACACACCTAAACATACTAAGAACAACGTATGTATAGACCCACATCCCTACATATATGTATCAATAAATATTAAATATTGTCCATCTTGAATATATAACGGAAGGAGGAAGCTTGAGAGTTCGCAAGGTTAATGCGGTATGGAATGAAACTCTGGCTGAATCTGGATGTTCTGCTTCGGCTACCACAGAGCCTCCTCCCAGAAGGTAACAAGGAAAACAGGTTGTGAGGAGGATGTGTAGTCTAATGCCAAAGGAATTATATGTGGCCTGAACTGTGGCTATTGTGAATTGGAAAAAGAAAAGAAATCTCCTATATCATATACTGATATCACTTGTAATATTCAGTCTAATAATTTATTTCTTGCAAAATAAATTTTCTCTTTTAAAGGGAGGAAGGGGCCTTTTAAAATACTGTATATGCGTACTGTAGTGCTGAGTATTGGGCTACAATTGGGGAGATTCAGGTACTTGTCCATAGTCAGCCACAAAGCCTTTGGGCCATATGCCAGTGTAGTTATTGTCTTGCAATCCAACCAAATTCATAAGTTTGTTGATAAAACTAGAGCTTATGGAAAAACATTAGGAAGAGTTTCTGGAAGAAATGTAACACACACAATTTCCAATGAGTGCTGCATAAAATCTTCCTCTGAAGTGTGATTCCCCCCCCCTCCCGTCTAAAAAAGTTACTGGAGGTGAAAATATTTTCATTTTGTGCAGAAATAATGAACATGTGGGCTGTCTCCTTCTGTTTAATTCAGTGCTTTTACACAGTCCAAACAGCATTGCATCTTTGCCCCTTCGTCTAGAATAATTACCCCTCCCAAGGGCCATATTTGCATTCATTACTTCAAATACAGCAGAAAAGAAACAAAAAAGAAAACTAGCCTCTTAGATATTATAAGGCAATTATGAATCTTAAAGAGAGCTTCATTAGGGAAAAGAATTTTTTAATATATTTGACATCCAGCAGATGCTTAAAATGTAGCTTTCTCATTAAAAAAAAACCAGCACTTTCAGCATGAAATTTAGCACTATTCCTGAGCCACATACATAGCCATTGTGGGAGAACGGAGCATTTTATTTTAGTTTATTTTAGCCTGAAAAATATAGTGATCTCCAGGATGTGACAGTCCCCAAAGACTGGATAGGTGGGAAAATGTTTAAACTTTTTATCACAATACAGCTCAGCCTAAGACATCTTTCTGGAGTCCATGAAGCCACATATTTTTAGAGGAGGCAGCAGTTGGCTGAAGTTGGCCCCATGCATGTACAGTAGGTGAGGGACTAGAAACATCACTGAATTTTGTAATAGTTACAACTTGCATTACTTACTGGTTACTTCACCAGTTTTTAGCAGTTGCTAGATGTTGGTGATGCTTTTTGGTAGGAAGGGAAGGGGAGGAAGGAAGGAAGGAAGGAAGGAAGGAAGGAAGGAAGGAAGGAAGGAAGGAAGGAAGGAAGGAAGGAAGGAAGGAAGGAAGGAGTGGGAATAAGTGATTCTAGAAGTTTCAAAAGGCCATTCTGATCTAAATTACGGTAAGATAAGGATTATGATGACTAGAATTGAAACTATTAGTAAGCCACCATAAGACAATCACAAAATATCAACCATAATAATAATTATCAAATTTATTGTCCACATATCTTACCACAGGTTGCTTTAGTGGAGTTCATGTCAGATCCCTGTCTGCTTTCAAAGATGGAGCCACCACCTAAACTAGCTGTCCCAGTAGTGACATTCCAGCTATGCTATTGTTCTTCACTATAGCATCTTTCCTTGTCCCCTTTCCAACTTGCTTTCAAAATTTAGCCTGATGAAGACATCGATATATCTGAAAAGCTTGCATATTTTACAACATATTTTAGATGGGTGGATTTTTTTCCTTAAACAAAATTCTCACAATTACGAGAAAGGTTCATTGTGTTCCTATTTATTCAGATAAAAATGATATTCTGCTTTTATAATACATATGTATTATTTAGAGTCAGGCAGATATAAATAAAACTATGTCATTTTTGTATGAGATCAATCTTCATTTTCACTGCCTTTTAAAAATAACATTTTAATCTTGCACCTTACTTTGCATAGACTTTATGATATTTTTGTATTCCTTTAATTTATTATGTTACGGTATATTTCAATGATTTCTTCCCAATTGTGCCCGGTATATGCTTCACTGTTGCTATAAAAATACCTCAAGCAAACAAACTCTGTTCTTTAGAAATGTATCTGTTCAGCTTAATGGTGTTATATATTTAAAACCTTGTGAAATGAATAATTAAAACTACTATCCATCAGAGCTCCTTTTTAGCCTCTGGATCTTACTTCTGAATAAGCATGAATAGGTTCAATTTAAATAGCTCTCTGTGTTAGAAATGCATAGGCATGAGTGCTCTTGAAAAAACAAGGGAAATAAACATCATCTGTTGTTGATAGCATTATTAGAAATTATCAAAATGGAACCGCAACAAATATTAACTGCTTTTTTCATGCAAATCTTTAACTAAAACTAGGCTTGAACTGAGCAAAAATGCTCATGTTTTGCCCCACTTTTCCACCAAGAAGGGTGAAATGGGCTACCTTAGGCAGCAGTGCTTGGGGAAAATAATTTATTATTGGTTTCACCACTCTTATTGGAATTACCACTTTGGATTTTCTGCCTCCAACATGAAACTGTTTTTGACACTGTATTGGCCATGATTTGTTATATTGGTTCTGTATTATATTTACATTTTGACTTTGAAAAAAAATCATTAATGTAACCTGCCTAAAGTCACAAATTATGGAAGGCAGTTTATCAAATGCTGAAATAAACCAACTTTGTTTCCGCTGAAAACTGATCTGGCTTATCTGCTATCATGCATTCTGCCCACTGCTAAGTGTGCTAACTCAGAAAACAGCTACACTCTGATAGGCCTTAACTCTATTTTTTTGTTTGCAATTTCTAACTTTTTCTTAAGTCTACGCACTTTCCACCAAAGAACTGATTATGCACCCTACATGTAACTTATTCAGAAGTTAGTTTCTCATATTTTAAGGGGACATATTCCCATATAAGCATGTTCAGCACTGCAACCCAAAACCTCCAAGTATCATTTCTCTCATATTATTTGTAGGTATACATAAAACCCTGTAGCAACATGTTTGAAGCTATAGCTCTAAAGTAGCTTAAAGTCAGAAAATGTATTCACATTTCATTCCATTCCTATTTGTGCTTTGTTGTCTAATCAAACAGCATTAATAGTTCTGCATTATGACTAAAGGGCTATATTGTTTTGGAATTACCTGCATGAAAACTACCTGTATTTCTCATAGAACCTGATGCTGCCTCTTCGATTATAATAAGATTCATATTACAGCAACATTGCAATTTAAGATGACTGGATCATACAGCAGTGTTTGTCTCTTTGAAACATGCATTGTTTGACTTGTTCTTCTAACGGATCCCATCAAAATATTCGAACTCCCTGTGGACGTCAAGCCAGATTAAGAATGATAGTTAGCCTGAATTACAGAGTTGTTTACATAGAGTTGTTTACACTGACTGAAATCTCCTGGGAGATTTCCTGCTTCATGTGTTCTTTATGTGTCTCCTGAAAACCCTGGGTGTAGATCCCAGCATTTAAAGTTAAATTAATTTGAGATAATCCAACTTTGGTTTTTGTCTTGATCCTGTTCCCTTTTCTATCCTGGTCCACTGATATTATGTAAAGTGGCTAGCCAAAGACCAGATCATACTATCAAACTGAAAATAGTTCTGACTAAAACAGCTGTGTCTGTCATAATTATGGAATAAGTGAGAGATTCAGCATGATAAATGTTTTCTAATAGCTGATATTATCATGGAAATCCCATCTCTCATTAGGATGGTCCTATATTTAGCCATCCTGAATTTCCCCAAAAGGAAAAAAAAAGGTTTCATCTGGCAATACTTTTGAACAACAATTTACAGACTCACTAAGGATGATAGATTGTGATATAAGCATGGCTTCCCAATGGTAATATATTACACCTAAAAGTTTCCTTCTTTTGTATGGCTTTGATCTGAGAAATATGTCAAATATTCAAGTACCCAAATAACTTATTCTCCATTATTCTCCCCATTATTTTCTAATGGGAAGTTGTTTAAAAGTAGCATCTAATCACGGGGAAAGTGTCCAGAAAAGTTTCCTTTCACAGCAAACAAGCTTCTAGGACTGAATTTAACAAATAAAATGTCTGAAAAGCCTATAGTTTTATGTGGAACTATCCACTGAAATGGAAGTTAAGGCTTTAAAACTATCTGGTACTGTATTCTTTATTTCTATTTCTAAAATAGAAAAGTGTTCTGCCTATTAACAAGACCAATTCTATGCTTCTTGTTCTATAAAAATAATCCAAGTCAAAAATCTTTCCACTAAAATAGCAAATCTTACAAATAAGTGATGTTTGTACATAAGAAAGAGTTGGGCCCACAAACCTCCAGTGAAGTAAGCCCAAGACAGTCATCATTCCATCACACTCCAAGGGCAGATATTTTCCAGAGGAAAAGCTTGTTAAATAATTTATTGATTTATACAAAGTCTTTCCAACTGGAGAAGTCAGAAAGCAACTGAAAATCAAGTGAAGCAGTTCTCTCTCCCTTTACATTCTCTTAGAACAAACAAAACAAAATCAAAGGAAGTGAAGCCATCCAAAACCAACATTTAAAAAAGAGAAAGAAACCTTTTCATTTTTACACTAGAAATATACATGACAAAAATCTGTAATTTTCTATATACACAGCTGAGCTGGTATCCTCCAATCATATACAAAACAGTAACAACAGCTTGATTGTTAGGAGCAGGAAAGGTGGGAGGGATGGAGGAGTGGAAATCACAATTTCAAAGGCAGCAGCTACTCCATCCTTAGGCCATTGACATCCCAGCAGCATTTACAGACCCCCCTCTTTCCAAAAGACTAGAATCCAATGGGATGAAAGTTTTAGGCTATGGTTGACATTTAAAGCAGTTACTTTGCACAGGACATCCCAGGAATTAAACAGGCTTCAACTAAGTGCAGATACACCTAGACCACAGGTCTTCAAACTTGGCAACTTTAAGACTTGTGGACTTCAACTTCCAGAATTCCTCAGCCAACCCTGGCTGAGGAATTCTGGGAGCTGAAGTCCACAAGTCTTAAAGTTGCCAAGTTTGAAGACCCCTGACCTAGACCAAAGTTATGCAGCCTGGGTCTCTTCTGGGATAGGTGAGGCTCAACCTCCTAACTATTTAGTCAGCGGTGATGGAGCCTCCAATGCATAACCCTGCAATCAAGTTTGGCTAAAATCAATTATGTTAATCATCTGCAACCCTACATTCCTTTTGAACTGGAGACAAGTCCCCTTAAGGGAGGCGGGTTTGCTCTCTACTCAGGTGTCTAGGGTGACACTAGTGCAGGGGTTTAAGACTTGTGGACTTCAACTCCCAGAATTCCTCAGCTCCTTTGCTGGGAGTTGAAGTCCACAAGTCTTAAAGTTGCCACGGTTGAGGACTCCTGCACTGGAGAGCCGGTTCTCAGCAGCAAGTCCCGGATAGAAGGGGCCGCCCTTTGCCTGGCGGTTAGGCCTGAGGTAAGCCTCTGCCCTTTGGCTACACGCGCTGCGGAGCCCTCGCGAATCCCGCTTAAAGGCCACGTGGCCCGGCTGCAGCCCAGCCCGGCTTGCTTTGAGCGTTACTTTCTTTCGAGTTGCACCGACAGCTCCGGTTTCCGAGGTCAGGAGAGGGTGCGTAGGAAGGGGCTGGGCTGGGGCGAGAGGCGGAACGGCAGAGAAACCCAGAGGTTACCCCACGGAGGCCGGAATAAGCTTCCTTCTTTCCTTCCTGCGCAACGGACAGCGGCGAAGAGAAAGGGCGGCCATTCATGGCCATAACTTATTCGGTAAAAATAGATATATATACATATACAGAAAGGACTTTCCCGACGTGCGGGCTGTACACGACGTGGCGGCGGCCAGTCCCGGGGCTGGCGTCGACTACCCTGCTTGGCCGGCGGCGGAGAGGAGAGGAGGGGCGGGCGGGCCCCAGTCACGAGGGGTCCGAGGCGTTGCTGCAGGGGCTGAGCAGGGCCAGGGGAGCGGCGGCCGCGGCCGCTTTGTGCTTCTTGAGGAGCCGCGTGATCTTCTCGTCGTCCGAATTGGGGTCCAGCGGCTTGTTGTACTCGTCGTCGTCCTCGTTCTCCGAACTCTCCTTCAGCTTCTCCGTCTCCGAGTCGTGCTTCTTCTTGGCCGAGGCCATTTCGGCCGCGTGCCGTTTCCGCCATTTCGTCCTCCGGTTCTGGAACCAGACCTGGGCCGGCCAGAGAGAAAGAGACGGTCAGAGTCAGCCGCCTGTTGTCTCCCGAGGACGGGGACGATCCGGAGACGTCCTTCCCCTAGGCTTCAACCCCCTAGGCTTCAACCAAGTCCAGTCGGAAGCCCCGCTCCCCCCCGCCCCGCATTTTCTGGAAGTGCTGAGGAGCCGTCGGTGGCATCTCCCCCGCCCGGCCTCCCTTCGCCTCCCGCTCTTTCTCGCGCACGAAGCCGGGGGGGGGGAAGAGAGCCCTTAAGTGACCCAGAAGGCCCCTCCCCGCCCCCTCTGAGATGGCAAAGGAGGCCCCACGGCAGCTGAAGGGAGCCGCGCTAAAGTTTGCCGCTACGAGCGCCTCCGTCCTTCGGGAAGACTTAAGCCTTGAAGTCGCTCCGCAGCAAAAGTGGCCTTGGTGGCAGGGTGGGGAGCGGGGAAGGGAGACGCGAGTCCCTAAAGAAAGGGAGGAGGGAGACGTCGACCTTTGCTAGCCATCCTATTTCCAGCCTCACTTTCTGGTGTTTGCAGTGGGATCCTGTGAATTGGCAATAATCCGGAGAATAATGGGAGGAAAGTCCTCGGCGGTGCTATTCGGGTTCTCCGGATTTCAGTGTCTTCAACAGCGACACAGATATTTGGTATAAAGACTGGCCAATAGAATTGTTTTTTTTTTAAAAAAAGCAACCTAAATGGCTAGGAATGAACGAACTCCTAAAAATGTAAATGAAATTATTTTAAATTTTAGTAAGGGAGGGTATGGATAGAGAAAAACTCAAGGTATGACTTTTACTAAACGTTTATTAAAAGTTTTTTTCAATGTGCAAACCGTTTTAGATTTTTTTTTTTTTTAAAAAAAACAACTTTTCACCCAGCCAAGATTCCGGGAGAGAAAGAAGATTGGAGCTGACATCCTCAAAGTAGAATTGCACATACCCCATCCTTCTGAAATTTTTGCCATTTTATGAGTTGTGGTTTCTTTTGTTTCTTTGTTTTTAAAACAGCATGCTTTAAAAAAAAAAACCTCTAATCTGAGCTATTATTTCTTTAGTTTGGAATTTGGATTTCCAATCTGAAAATTGTCGATTTCCCAAAACTGTAAATAGGGCACAATTAGAATATCAGAATATGAGTGGGATTTAGATATATGAGCAACAGGGCTTGCTTTGCATAAATAAATCTGAGCAATACATTTTATTCCTAAATAGGTTTCAAATACTTAAGAAGAACATAAGGCAAAGGATGCCACTTAATATCCTGCTTATTCCAATATATATATATGCTATTTAAATCCCTCACCAGTATGACCAGTTGCACTCTAAGGCCGCAAAAATAGGCATTTCAATGCAAATATGCTCCTGGAGAGCCACCTAAAATAGGTTCCCTACATCCCACTTTGAGTGCCCTAACATTAAGGATTCTGCTAAATAGTGCAGCAGTCTGAAGATCAAAACAATTCAGGGCAGATGTTGGTATACACAAAAAAACTTGTCAATATCACTTTTGTGCAGCTATGTTTTTTTTCTGAGTCCTTGCACAATTCCAAGAAAATTTAGTTTAGGGTCTTATGGTTAGGTGGAAGCTCGTGTACATTAAAAAATTCACATTTTGCCTTTGGAATCTGGAACTTGGTATAATTATTTTTCAACTGACTGCCTTGCAATCCTTCTGCAGAAGACACCTGCAGAACAATTTGTCTATGTGCAGGTGCATAGGCACAGGCCTCTAAACCAGGTCACACCATTCACTCATTCCACCACCAATTAGTCATTTGTAGAAAGGAAATTTCCAAGAACCCTGCTTTCAAGTAGGAGGGCTTTCAATTGTGCCATGAGCAGATTTACTCCAAAATAAAGTCCCCTTTGATTTAAGGAGCACTCCCAGCAAGCAGCTTTGAAATACAGATGAACCACTTTCACCAGAAACAAAAGCCAGCTGAACTGAATAGAGATTACTTTCCCAAAAGTCCCTTTGGAATTAATTGCTGACTTTGCCATCCTAGGTTTTGTTTTGTTTTTTGTTTAAATTCTTTGGATATCTTGGTATTAATCACTGGCTTGGTGCTAATACTATCTAAATATCTTCCAACTGAAAATTTAAACTTTATTTAAACTTAGCTTTTCTTTCTTCCTCCTAAATAAATTAAATAAGAAAAAACTCACTCAGAATATGGATATTCTGGGTGAGGTCCACCCAGAATAAATGTGCATCAAGATGTTAGCCACACATTAAGCAAATCCCTCAGCCTCTTAAAAGCATAGGACATGTTAGTATCAATATATCTTTCTGGCCTTCTGTAACACTAGAAACTAAGGCAACCTTTAAGACTATTTCTCTTGTTTTCAAGACAATTAATTCACAGAAAAAACATAGTACAGAGTCGTGAGAGAAATTCCAGCCTTCTAGAAAGACTAATACTCATAGCCACTAACTTTGCTTTAAAAAGAGGCTTTCTATATTCAGGAAGAGATAATCTTTAAATTTGTAAAGCATCTGGTTCCAATCCATATTTTAGGTTTGGCATATGACTTTTTTATTTTCAGTTCAACAGATTCTTATTGCAAAATCCTGCGTTAAGCAAAAATATTTCTGAATTCCTTGCTTCCTGAGAAAATGGTGAAATTGCCTTTCTGAACCATCTAAAGAAAAGCTCTGAGAGGATTTATAATGCAAAAGGTGTCTCAAACTTGGCAATGGGCAAATATTCAATTAATTAGCTTAGCTTTTATTTCCAAAAAAGGTTCTCTCATTTTTAAATAATTTGCATCTTGCCAGGAATATCTTTTTTTCCCTCCAGACCTTAAACATTTCAGATTACCTCATTGCTAGAACCCTGAAATGAGTGAAAAGGTAAAACAGGCACCGGTGGGGGAGCAGCAGAGGTAAGTTTGGAGCCAAAAAGAAAGGCTGAAAATAGTGTCCTTGCATTTAACCTCTTCATAATATTTTATTTCTTATTTAATAGTAGCAATGGACATTTGTTTTATTTTAGTATGCTAGGAAGAACTTGATCTGTGGTAAGTATCAAAGTTTCCCAAAGTTCAAGATTTGCTTTGGTTTGTGGGTTTTTTTTTTTTTACATCCAGGAATGAACTGTGTGTGCATTAATATGAGCTGTCTGACTAACAGGAAACCTAAGGTTTTGACAGGAAACCTAATTTTGTTCTAAGGAACCTGTAGCTTGCCTTCACTCACATCAAGTACAGCAGCAAGGCAAAGAGGTATCGCCAAGCAAACTGGCACAACCCGAATAAAACCTAAACCAGGCTTTGAATCCTAGCTAGTGCTAATCTGGGCACACTTTCTCTGGGCTAACTTCTAAGAGGCTGCCGGCTTCCTTGGAGACCATCCGCCCTAGTTCCCCGCGGCTGACACCAGCGGCTCCGGAGATTTAGGATTTTGCAACTTGCTGTGCCCTTTGGCCCTCCCTCCCTCCCTCCTCGGGCTGAACCTGCGCTGGAGTCGCTACGACGGAAAGCCGAGCTCGGCGCCCCGCTGGCCGAGAGCGTCCTACCTTGACTTGACTTTCCGTCATCCCCAGCGAGTAGGCGAGGCGCGCTCTTTCCGGGCCGGCCAAATATTTCGTCTGCTCGAAGGTCTTCTCCAGCGCAAAAATCTGCTGGCCCGAGAAGGTCGGTCGGGAGTGTTTTTTCTTGCCATCCTTGTCCAAAACCATCCCAGCCTGGGCTGAAAACGAGGGGGGGGAGGGAGAGGAAGAGCCCCATCAGCGCCTCGAGAAGCTCCGAAAGGGGAGCGCTACGCAGGAAAACCGCGCCGCTTGCTCAGCTCTGCCTTTCGGCCTCGACCGGAATCCTGAAGCGGCAACTTGGGACCTACGCTAGTGCGACAGCCCCCTTCCATCCCCACGGCGGGGAAACCCAAGGAAACGGAACCGCCGTCTCCACGGGCGGACGAAGGCCGAGTAGCTCGGTCGCGCGAGTCGGAAAGAAACCTTTGCCCGCAGCCTCGGGAAAGGCCGCCTCCCCGCCGCCACCCCCTTCGCTTTCCCCGCCTGGCTCAACGGACGGCGGAGGTAACAGCAAGAGAAGCCCAAGCGGCGGGCCTCGGAGCGGGGTGGGACTCTCGAGGGAATCCGCTACGGGCGATCCCGGCGACTTCCCGTCCGAGAGGGATGGCTCTGAGCCACTTTTTGTTCAAATGTCCTAGAAACCGCCGCAGCAACTGGACAATCGCTCAAGGCGAGGTGGAGCCGAGCATGGGCAGAGCGCTGATGGAGAGCCCTCGCTAAGCAGGGAGCTGGCGTTTGTAAAGCGAGCCTCTACCCTGAATGGGCGCTCGAATCAATGGGCGGTAAACATCGAAAGGGACCCCGGTACAAACGGTCCCTCGGTATTTCTGCCTGCTCGCGCCGTCTCCGCTCCTTTGCGCCCTCCCCCCCCGTCCCCCGCGCTCCGAAATTCGCCTTACCGGGACAGGCGAGCCGGGGATCCCTCCAGGGCGATCCCTGCATAACTCCGGGCCAGAAAATTGGAGGCCGGCCGGGCAGCTCGGCCAAGGGCTTGGGGTATCTGGAGACGGCGGCCGGATTGAAGTACATCCCCGCGGCGGCCAGTCCGTTCAGGCGGGGCAGGCCGGAGAGCAGGTTGGCGGCGGCGGCGGTGGTGCCGGCCACGGGTCTCCCCAGGATGTCGCTGATGCCGTGCGGCGTGCCCAGCGGGATCTGCGCATTGAGGCCGCCCAACGCGGGCGCTTTGAAGCCGGCCGGGCTCTGCAAGGCGTAGGGGAAGAGGGAGGTCTTCATCTCGGCCATGTTGTGCAGCGCGGCCAGCGGCGTACTGCTGAGCACGAAGGCGCCCTGGCGGTTAGCCTCCATCTGCCCCACGGCTAACATTGGGGAGCATCAAACGGGGGCGGCGGCGGGGGGGGGAGAGACCGGGCGGAGGGAGGGAGGGAGGGAGGAGAAGGGAGCCGCCGCCGCCGCCCGTCCTCCAACTCAGAGAAAGCGAAGGCGGCACGCTCGGCCTCTCCGCCGGCGCGGAGAAAGTAGCAGCCGAGAACCAAGACAAGTCGCCCAAGTTGGGCACTCCCCGCTTCGAGGCCGCGATCGTCCCAGGTCCCGCTCGTGTGCCGAGGAGGGCCCCCAGCCGCGATCGCCCGGGGTGGGACGTTCTCGGGCTCGGGGTGAAGGAAGAACAGGGCGTGGCGGTGGCCGAGAAAGAAGGCGCGGGAGAAAGCCCAGCGGCCCGCTCCAGTGTTCTGGCGGCCGCGGCTTTTCTGCTTTTAAAAAAGCACCGACGGCGCCCCGCTTGGAAATCCTGCAGCGGGGGGAGGGTGGGGGAGCCGGAGCCCTTTCCTCCACTTGGCCCCGGCTGGCTTTGGCCGCGCGGCCCCTTCCTTCTTCCCGGCCTCCGCGGAGCTTCCCCGCCTGCGAAAACGCCTCGGCGAAGGAGAGTCCCCGGTTGGGACAAGATGCGCTGATAACCTCGCAGCCACCTGCCAGCCGCGCTCCTCGATTGGCCGGGATCTCTTCCGAGGCCGCTGCTCTCAGCCAATGGCTTGGCAGCCTGCTCTCCCGCTTTGCATCCGCCGCCCGCCCAGCGTCTCTTTCGGCCCGGACGGAGGCGGGGAAAGACGCGCCAGGGCTGGGAGGGGGCGGGGCCGGAGCGACGCTGCTTGAAGGTTTTGTGATAAAGTCGGTCAAGGTACTTTAAATGGCTGTAAATTTACCAGCTGATTTATCTTGCCAACGATTAAATAAATCCCGCGGAATGGGAGTTTAGTTAGGCGTAAGCTTCTCTTTTTCCCTCCCCCCTTTCTGGGTTTAAGCAATAAATTTTGGAAAAATTAATAAAGTAGGGCGTTTATGTCACTGAAGTCCTCCAGACCTTTTCGCACCATTATTCAAAGCCACTTTTACCAAGGAAAGCTCCTTTTTCGCACGGCGGCTCATTTCGCTTTTCTGCTTTTCTGAGACCGCTAAAAAAACCGTCAACGCGTCTTTTTCCACGGCAGAAGAAACGGAGCGACATAAACGGATTCTGTGAATTTGCCGTTTCCTTTTTTTTCCCCTTCATTTTTGTTTCCATTTCCAGACAAAATTGTCTTCTGTTTGATCTGGGGGGGTTTCTGAGTCTGTCTCTGTCTCTCGCTTCCGAGGGTGCTTAATCTTATCCTCCAAAAATTTCGTGTCCCTGTTGATTACATTGGAACCGCCGCCTCCCGCGCTCGATTTTTCAGCCTGACTGTCCAAAAGCAAGCCAGGGAGAGCGGGCGAGAGGTTTTCCGAAGCTCCTCTTGGTCGGTCCTTTGAGTCAAGAGTTTATTTTACTGCTTAGTATGAATCTCTCCTTGGCCGTTACTTTTTTTATTAAAAAAATAAAATAAGGTCACAAATGATCTCAGTCGAGCGAACTTTCCGATCCAGCTTGAAGCATATCTCGAATTGGTGCACCCGACGACGCCTGATGTTTGGGGAAACCTCCGATAGTTTGACTTTTTAAAGAAATTTTGTTTTGTTCTTCCTAGGCAAGGAGTAGTTTCTTAGGCCAGTTCTGAAACTAACTAATATTTCCTCTTTTACTCAGAAATGATCCTTGCTGGTTTCTTGGGAGGTTTTCTGCCAGAGTTTTGTAACCAACTGCGTTCAGCTGGCGCTCCCGATTAGAGGCTGGATCCTGAAGCGGCCTAATAACACTTAAACCATCCAGGATGGCGCAACCAGCAATAATAGGGGCACTTATTTAAAATGAACTGATTTGAATCCGAAACATATCAGGGTCCAAAAGGCACTCACCCCCCCTCCCCACCAAAGTTCTGGGAAACAGACCTTGGCTTCTAGGCCTGAAGAGAAAAACCACCGAATTATGGTGAGAGCCCCACACCGGGATCAACAAAGCCTTGCTTTTTATAAGTGGAACGTTAAAACTCAGCAGCTTCTACTGACCCTTCTGGGATATTTAAGAGTTGTGATTGCTAGGAAAGGACTTGAGAAGAGGAGACCAAGACGAAGCAGAAGCCAAAAAGCAAAAAACAAACAAACAAACAAAAGCTGCACCAATAAAAAAAAAAAGATTGTGCAAAGGCGACAGTGACGTAAAACCAGATCTATTTGGAGATCTAGTCTGGGTCGGTCACCGGAACCAGAGGTTTTGTCTTCCGAGCTCTTGGACTAGTGCTCAGGGATCTTCTCTGTAGCAGACCTATCTGGACTTGCTGGTGGTCTTCAGCGCAGAGGAAAACAAGCCCATGACCATAGTTGTATCCCGACTGTGGGCGAGTGGGAGCATTAAACCTGTTGCCTTCCACGGCCGGTCTCGGAAGCAAATATTATAACCTGTGATGCTGAGATCCAATTGCTACAAAATCTGGGATAGTAAATATGCGCAAGGTTTTTTTTTCCCCTTGCCTGGAAAAGAGCATTTTCTAGATACGTGTCTCACATAATAGAGAACTCATTTTTGCTATAATTTCCTCAGAGTTATTGGTTCTAAGTGCCATTCAGCTTTCTGGAGTCTACCTCCCCTTCTCCTAATAATATTTTCTTTAGATCAGACCAATAGGTGACTATAGTACTTGGGCCAATATTTTAGTTGGTTCCTTTTCTCTCCGTTTCTCCCACAGTATCCCAACTATTCCAGCTCAGAAAGTTGTATTTGTATCCTAGGTGTCCTCGTCTCCAAAATCCGAATTTTTTTTTTCCCCAAAACGCAGCTGCCTGCATAGAATGAGTCCTTGCAAGGAGCAACGTTGGGAAGCCACTGTTCTGGTGACCTTAAGGTTATACATTTTCTTGGAGTTTAAATCCTGGGGCGTGAGTGGTGGTGAGAAAGAAAAATTCCTCTGGGAAAAGAAAAGAAAAGGAAAAGGAAAGAAAAGAAAGACAAATTGCTTCTCTGGAGCAGGGGTCCTCAAGCTCAGCAACTTTAAGACTTGTGGACTTCAACTCCCAGAATTCCTCAGGGGTCCTCCACTTCGGCAACTTTAAGACTTGTGGACTTCAACTCCCAGAATTCCTCAGGGGTCCTCCACTTCGGCAACTTTAAGACTTGTGGACTTCAACTCCCAGAATTCCTCAGCCAGCAACTTTAAGACTTGTGGACTTCAACTCCCAGAATTCCTCAGCCAGCTTTGCTGGCTGAAATTCTGGGAGTTTAAGTCCACAAGTCTTAAAGTTGCCGAGGTTGAGGACCTCTGCTCTAGAGAGTGTCCGTTTTCCCCTTAGTTTTAACACTCTTCCAACGCACATTCATACTTCCAATGAAATGCTATTCACAGGTGTTTTGGGATCAACTTCAGTGGAGCTGATTTTCCAATAGAAGACCCTGCCATCTATTGAATTATTCGTTTAGCTGGAATCTTGAAGAAGAATTTGGGGCGAGGGGCGGGGCGGGGCGGGGCGGCTTTTATGAGCCCTGACTGGCCCGAGGCAAACTCAGAATCAGAGGAAGTTCCGCGATTTCAGCTACTGGGCGCCAACGGGGGTGATCAGTTTTGGGGAAATATCGAAAGAGGACCCCGGACGATTCCCCGGGACTTCCAACCAATAAAATCAATGGGGCTCTGCCAGGAAAAAATTCAAAGGAAACGTGGCCGTACGTTTTCCTATTAGCTCATGCCTTTCCGATGCACATTCTCAGTTACAACATAATGCTATTCACGCGTGTGGAACAGAGGTTAGACCGTACAGCAAACAAGTACGCATTTTTAAGCCAAAGCTTGCTTGGAAATGACTTCTTCTCTCTTTTAAAAAGATCTTTTTTTTTTGTTCCTTCTCCCTCCGCCCCATTCTTTCCCGAGTTCTTCCTTTTACAGAACCAGGTTACAGCAGCAAACAACGCCTCTCTTATGCATAAGAATAAGATAAGAGAAGAAAGAGTAAGAATAAGAAAAATACGCGCCTATACGAAGTTCTATAAAATGCCTACAACAGGCCAACCCAAACAGGCACAAGCCAGACCTAAAGAGAATAGATTTCTAGGTGTGTTTTATCAGGCAAATCGTGGCAAATCAAGCAAAAGAGGACGGGGGCTCACTGCTCAGGAATCTCGGTACTTCGTTAGAAAAGAAAGTATTTTTGGGGTGGGGGCGGGAGACTTCGAAGGCGACTTTCACTTTGGCCTGCGGGGTTCCTGCGACAGCCCCCCCCCAACCTTCTGCCCTTGCGTGGCATGCTGGGCTGCAATCCTCATGATCCCTAAACAGGACCAAGGAATGGCTGAGAAGGGGGCGCAATTCTTCTCGGGAAGACTAAAATTCGTCGACCTCACCCATAGCCGCCTCGCTTGTGTAGGGCGTGCCCACCAGAAAGGGGCTCCGTATCTTCTCTGGCAATTCATTTGCCCGGAGAGGTTTTCTTCGTTGGGGGCATGCAATCCCGAGAGCAAAGAAGGGGGGGCGCCTAGTTCTCCGTCGTTTTTAAAGTGCCCCCCCCCCGGACGCCGCGCCTCGTTTTCAGACGCCACCAATTTTGCGCTTTTAGCTGCAGCAGATACAGAGGGTCTCCTGCCGCTTCCCGCCAGCTACGCCGGCCGGAACCTCCCCCCCCTCCCCGATCCTCGCGATTGCTCCGAAGAGGCCGAAGGAAGAGGGAGGCGGAGGCGTCCCACGAGGAGAGACGGTGAAGGGAAGAATTGCTGGAGAATCCAACGGCTTGGACTGGTCAGGACCGAAGGGGGGGGGGGAGAGCAGACCCAGGAAGGATTCAGATTTGGGGGACCCATGCATGCCTCTCAGTTGACCAGCGGTTGGAGTGGAGGTAAATTTGTATCCCAGCTCTGGACGCCCAAGGATGAAGTCCTTTAGCCATCTTGAGGGATCCTTACCGTCCCAGAAGGACAGCCGAGACATGCGTTTGAGGGAGAAAGACACCACTTATCCTCTTCCTGGGATACCTAATCGTATCATTCAGCAAGCAGGAGATGGAGGATGTCATGGTCAAGCCACGTGAAGAGTGCTTAGAGGGAAAGTCAAAGGGGTCCTCTGTTTGTGACCCAGGAAAAGATGGAGTCACCTTCTGCCTTTCCCCAAGGAGTGTTGGAGAGCAGGGCCAGGAGGGGAGCGTGGCCACTTTATTGTGCGAATTGGAAGATGAGAGACCAGCAAGCCACAGGTTGGTTTCCCAAGAGTGGAGTGGATGGAAAGCTCTCTAATCCACAGCCGTGGCCAGGCAGGCAATTCTTGAGAAGTCATCCTGGAGTTTAAAGCTCAAAAGTATCCCAGGAAGGTCTGCAGAACTTTTCAGGCACTTCAACTACTGAGTTTTGTGATATATTTTTACAGTCTCCAGGAGGATTATTTGCTTCCTGCTCTAAACATCTCTGGTAAAGTGTTGGTCCTTCTTTGTGGAAGTAAAATTGGGGTTTAACTGTTTGCAGTAAATTTAATGGAAATCCTTGTTCAAACGGCCTTGTGTATTAGTTGCAAAGCACCTAACACAATCAGCATTCCCTTCTCCCTCATAAATTCCACAATTCTATGTTCTTAAGGATATTACTTCCCTGGTAATTCAATTCCTGTAAAAGTCAAGAAATAAGAAAAAACAGCAAAAAGAAAAAGATTTCCACATCAATAGTGGTTTTTTTTAAAAAAAAGTGTATTTAAAAATCACTTACATTATACAAACACTATTAATGCAGGACTAACACACAGTTTATGTGAAAGCAAGTGCCATTT